TGATATTACTACATATTTACTGTATTTTTTATGACAGGGAATTTGATTTTAAATTTGCAAAGGATATCAGGAATCGCTAGCCTGGTTATTCCTTGCCACATACATTATAGCAGTCAATCTGCCTACTCATTTAGCTGTATTTGATTGATGCATTTAAAATAAAATGTAGAAATGCTATTGAATTGTATAAATTTGTTTCAAGGAATCGATCATATGTGCTCGCTATCAAAGTAAAGAACAACTTTCTGTAAGGCATACAGTGTTTGTTGACCCTTAATTGTTATGGGTATACTAAGGATAATATTAGTTTCACAGCCCAAAATACAACAAAGAAATCAACTTGTGACATTAACCTCAAAGAATGATAATAATAATGCTTATACGATACGAGGTGCCATTTGTTTTCATACGATATATGCACCAGGTAAAACATCACATTGTCATGGTGAAATGACATCATGAACAATGTTATGACATCACGTTGCTTCGAGGGAGACGCCTTCTAAATACAGTGATCAATGGGAGCCTGCCTTTGTTGCAAAGTAGATTATCACATAATTTCCTCAATTAAAGACTTCGATAATAAATAGAAAATTATATTCGTGACCATAGCATACTATGTTAACGACCTCAATATCGGCATACCGCTTGCCCTGGTTCAGAGAATACCAAGATATAGGCAGTTGTGTCGTGATAAGACAAGGGCACTTATATTTATCTTCTATAAAGTCGGCTATATTCCAACCATGAGAAATTTCGTCAAATAATGTGTTATAAAAGTTACCAACGTCCCAATAGTGTCGATAGATTTTAGAATCTGTAATAAAAATGCAGAACCTCCCTAATTGTTTAATAAATGACAAAGGTTATTCAACCAAATTAAAAGGTTTTCAGGCTTGAAGGACGAAGCTCATTAAAAATCCACACTGTCGTCTATCAGAGAGATATTTAGTTAACCATCGAAGTACGTTTCAACGAACACCATAATTTTCTAATTTGTGCAATAAACCTTAATGCCAAGCCCTGTCAAAAGCTTTTGAAATGTCACAAAATACCGTACAGTAAAGGTGGCGATTATCTGGGACTGAGCATATATTATGATACATTTCTGAGTTGAGATGTAGTAGAATGACTAGCAGTAAAACCTGACAGGAATTTACTTAAAATGCTACGTTAATGGAAATGGTTGTGCACATGTTTTACCATTATTCTTTCAATACTTTTCCCCAGGATAGATAGTAAACTAATAGGTCTGTAATTAGATGTATCTCCTTCTTTCAAAATAGGAGTAACATTACCCGTTTTCCACATTGTAGGAAATACAGTCTCATGTTAATGCCGTCAGGTCCTACAGATGTGTTTGTTGGTAAGGTCTTAATCATATCAGATACCTCCTTTTCGGTTACAACGTTAACACAACGATAGCTAACAAGTGGCAACGTCTTGCCGCCATCATTAACATTTGAAACGTATACAATGTACAAAGTATTCATTTAATGTTTGAGCTTTATCCATATCTGTACAAACTGAAGGTATATCCCAGAATCATCGGTTACAAGAGGGGAAATTTATAATCATCCAATAACCACCTGATTGATTAGACTTTAGACTGAGGTAATAACTAATTATCAAAATTAGAATTAAAGTTTTCCTTGCCTATTCTTTTCAGATTATATACGTATCTCATATTTCTTTTGCTTTGCTTTTTGTATCTAAATAGGTCAGAAGTATTCAGAGATCGAAGTGCATTTGTCCTTCGACGTTCTCTATTCTTTTAAATATGAGACGAGGGGCGTTGAAAAGGTGACCTGTCTAACTATATTTTCGGTGCCCAATGTTTGACAAGGTTCAATTTTGTTTTGAAGGAATCATTAGCAAAGTATTATCCAAAATTTCACATATGTGGGTAATGTGGTTAACATGGTATAAGTCATAAGAACACATTGGGGTATAACTGACTGACTGAGTTTTGGTTTTACGCCTCTTTTAGCAATATTCCAGCAACATCACGGCGGGGGACACCAGAAATTGGCTTCATTGGCGTATAATATTTCTTTAAAAATTGCAGAACGTCAAAAAAGATTTGTCCTTTGGTACCTCTTGGATAATGGTATGCTCTTCAGATAATATCATATAAGATATGTTCCGTATAGTATTGGATGCCTTCCCGTCATAATAAATAGTCAAATATTGGGATTGCTAGATTTATATATAGACAGGGGGAGTATTTTAAGGACATCCCGTTTTTAATCTTTCAAAACCATTGTGGCCAGATATACAATATATTGAGAGCTGACACTTGTGTGATCATTCAGTATTTAGCTGCAACCCTTGGCATGATAATGGGTTATGTCCTATGATTACGTCATCTGAAAGGGGGATGGGTAGTGTCTCCAAAACAAGCTCCTTCAGTAAACATGAAGGGGGAGTCACTTGAACAAGCGATTGTAGTTTTAAATTGCCTTTTTGTGCTCTTTAATATCTAAGCTTGATTCTAGCGGACTTCTACCAGTCTCAAGCATACAGAATGTTTCTTGTAGATTTTGAACTCAATAACTGACATTCAATGTGGTTTTCGTAAAAATAGAAGTACCATTGATCACTTAGTGCGTTGGGAATCATTTGTCAAAAACGCTGTAATTAATACACAACATGCAGTGTCGATCTTTTTTCGATCTAGAAAAAGCATTCGACACTACATGGAAATACGATATTTTAAAAGATTTACATGACTTTGGATTGAGAGGCCGCTTGCCTAAATTTATATCAAAATGTTTAATGACAGGCAATTTCAAGTACGAGTGGTTCTAAACTGTCTGATCGTTATAGTCAGGATCAGGGTGTCCCACAAGGCAGTATTTTGTCTGTCCCATTGTTTAGTATACAGATTAACAGTTTAGCAAAGGTTTTAAATGATTCAATTGATGGATCCTTATTTGTGGATGATTTTAACATTTCGTGTCTATTGAAAGACAAACTGCAGCTTTGTTTAAACAAGATTAACAAATGGTGTTTGGAAAATGTGTTTATTTTCAAAATAGAATAAAAACAAATATAAATCAAATACAGACCTCACAAAGACCCAGACTTATACTTAGTTAACACACCTATTAAAGTGGGAAAAGAAGCGAAATTCTTGGGTTTAATTTTTGAAGAGCACTTGACCTTTCGACCCCATATTAAATACTTTAAAAGTAAATGCCTGAAGGCCCTTGAATTGCGAACGGTTATCTCCAATACAAAGTGGGGAGGTGATAAGAAAACCCTCCTCGAACTCTACGGAGCACTTATACGCTCCAAACTGGATAATGGCTCCATTATCTATGGTGGAGCCTGCAAACGCAACCTTAAAGTTTTAGATTCTATCCACCATCAAGCTCTGAGACTTTGTCTTGGATCTTTTCGTACTTCTCCAATCCTTGTCCTGCTTGACTGTATTAATTTTTCCATAACAAGGGATAAATATGTCAAAGTCACAATTAAAGACCTTTTTACTAATATTAATTATCATTTAATCATTTACTGTTTAAAAGAAGTAGATTTGCTAGATACATTTTTATTACAGTTAATATATAAATATTTTATGGTTAGTAGTTTAAATTAACAACTGATATTGTGAGTGGTTGTATCCTCGAAGGGAGTTAAAGCACTGTAACATTATTGTCCTCCAGAGACGGAACGTAAGTCCCAAAACAATTACAGTAAATTTAAACGTATTACTATTTTTAACCGCAGCATATGTTATTTTAATTTTTAGCTTGAATGTCAAAGATTGCTAACATTGAAGGGATGGTGAAAACCCAGCTAGGGCCATGCAGGAATCCAATGTAATGAAGGTCCCCAATGTTACAATGAATGACAGTACAGTTTTTTATTGTAATTCGATTGGGTCACAAATCTAATATATTAACTAAAGGTCTAGAGTCATCTAATTATTGATCATTGTAGATATGCTGATTGAAGTTTATTGACAGCGGTTTAAAGTTCAATGTAGCCGAAGCCTCCTGAGTTGTAGGTTTTGAAACGTCGATGTCAGCAGACCGATGAGCGTAAATCCAAAGTCGTTTTCTCATACATCTCAACAAACGTCCCTTACGTACCTACTATACAGCTCTAGACATTTTTTCAACAAAAAACATAATACCCGACCAACTTCTCAGCGCTTTCAGAATCAGACCGGAAGCAAAAAGACACAAGGGGAAACTCCGCAGCCCACTCTTAACAGGTGAAATTACATAGCCTAAGTTCAAGATGCGAGTTCAAATCCATGTTCAGCGCTTCACACTTCTGTGACCCGCAATAACTAAAAGTTATTAATGTGAATTTTTGCTCTTTCATTTTATTGTCGATGTGGCGATCAACACTATTTTAAAGGGATTCATGTCGACATGCTCATAGTATTTTGTGGACTAAATGTTGTTGGAATCTTACGATTCAAACACACAGATGTGTACAATAATATATGGAGGTGGCTGGCATATATGACATTCCAATTGCCAAAGTAGAGGAATGCTGCAGAGAGTTACACTAAGGCATGTTTCCTATTGTTGTATCTGGTGCATTTCTCATCAATTGAAACGAGAAAACTCTTTCTATATCAATATGAATGTATACATGTTTCTTGTAAAAAAGCGAGAAAACCTTTTTCTATATCCATTTCTCCTATTGATATATGAATGCTTTTCTCGCTTTTATTTTGATAAAAACTATGCGTGTATTCATTATTTTGATATTGATAAGAAAATTAGGCGGCGCTGAAGACATAATTGTCTTCTCCGAGGTCCGCACACGATTGTCAAATAAGACGGAAAAAGAGTTGCCCTAATAGTTTAAGACGCAACAGTCGCTCAAGCTATGGGTTTGGCTCGTAGATCAAGTTAAACTCATTACCTCGCTCTATAATTTTCAGTGGCCACATCTGTCGAGCCTCAATTCAACCTCTGAGGACCTCGACACACAGAAGGACAGGTACTTCAACCCTATCTTGGCATACGATAACGATGTGGACTACCAGGAACTTCAAGGTGCCTACAGGTTCCACTTCACCCCTCGGAGTGGTGTGTCCAGGTATCACTCCAATGAAGAGGATGTCAGCATCCACGACTCCTCCAGTGACGACTCAGCCAAGAGGAGATATAATTGGAAATTCTGTGTTTTCGTTGTCCTCCTTTTTCTCCTCGTCGGTAGCGTCGTCAGCGCCATCATTGTATCCGTCATCCGTGAGTGTACATCGACAGTCACCTGTAACGGTGTTGTAGTACAGAAGTTGTTGCCATGAAGTATCCTTCTCACTGCACTGAAAGTTAAAGTATCACTCATAGTGTTTAAGAATACAATTGTGTCAATCAGAACTTAACATACTCAAGTTTGTATTATGCATGGTGTGGCCTACAGTACAATACTATGTAACTCAAGCTGTGATGAATATTTCAGGTACACAGAAGCCATCCGAAGTAATTCCAGTTGGTAAGTACATAAGCCGATAAGAAAAATAAATGAAACCTCAGGCCCACCCCATTCGAAAGTGAAAGTCCCAATACAAACTGAATCTACAAAATACCCAGAAAATAATGACACCTTGACTTCAGCAACGGCACCTAGCCAACACTGACACTTTAAATAAAACCAGCGAGCGGATGTTCATGTTATCACGGAGGTTTGTATGAAACGTCCCGGCAGACAAGTGATGGACAATATGATCGCTCTGTCCGAGGCTGATCTAATTCAGTCGCTTCTTAGGGCAAGCATTAGAAAACTGAAGGCCTTAGGTGGGCCCCAGGACAGTACAACTATCTAGCTGTATGACATAACAATGGACTGAGATAGCTGGTTGTTAAAGTTTCTCCACATATACCATGACCTTGCGTCACCCCCCTCTGACCTCTCGTTTCCAGCACGCCTACAGTCCAGTCTCCGAGTGACGGATAAGACGTACACGCCTGAACTCGCCGATTCCTCAAGTCCTCAGTTTAAGGCGGAAGCTGCAGAATTCTGCAACCAGGTATGATGAATTAATAAAACCAACAAGCAATATAATAATTATCGAATTGTGACGTATAGAAAAAGTGAACATATATCTTATTTAAAGAGTAAGCTATCTTACATACTGAAGACGCACCAATGTTAGCTTGCTAGTTCACAGTAATGGCCCGTGTAACAATGGCGCGTTCTTCTTACAGATTAAGGAGACGTTAGTCATTGACAGCTCCCCATTGAAGGACAAGGACCCTTCCTGTAAAGTACTGGAGATAAGGTAATATCAACAGCAAATCAGACTGTTTGTCCTGTCTCTTGAAGGCCATGGTGATTGTCAATATCAACACCATACAAGTTTTGAGTGGTCGTGATGTTGCACAGAATGTCTCTCAGCATTCTACATATCACACGACACATCAGACAAGGCGGACATTGACAAATGCCGCCCTTGTGTTCCATCACTGACTAACCATGACTTAACCCATTATTCCTCAAGGTTTTAAACATTGCTAATTTTCAACTAAAGTTTTGCGATTGGATTATAATGAACATAATTGAGTGTTAATTTTAATCTATTTGCATATCTTATTAAATGCTGATGTGATGTGATGCTATGTTGAGAAAATCGACATGTAATTTTCCAATACTATCTTTCCAGAAACGGCAGTTTAATCTTTATCTACGAGATAGTAGTGCCACAAGCAGCAACCAGCTTAGGAGAACTGTTCAGTGACCTCTTGGCGCAGTTTATCATTGAGCAATCGAAAGATGGAAAAATCGGAAATTTAAATGTCGACTCAAGAAGAGAATGTGGGTGGTACTTACGGCATCGAGCGACACATCGTCTGCTGTACTCTGTCCTCCTAAACCTGCTTCCACAGCATCAACCACCAATGCTCCATCTTCCACCCAGACGTCGTCAACAGTGACACCTCCGGCAACAACTACTACCCAGTCGACAACTGCTACAACCACTGCATCATCTTTACCATCTTCTACGCAGACGTCGTCAACAGTGACACCTCCGGCAACAACTACTACCCAATCGACGACTGCCACAACCACTGCATCATCTTTACCATCTTCCACGCTGTCATCGTCAACAGTGACACCTCCCACAACAACTACTACCCAATCGACAACTGCCACAACCACTGCATCATCTTTACCATCTTCCACGCAGACTTCGTCAACAGTGACACCTCCGACAACAACTACTACCCAATCGACAACTGCCACAACCACTGCATCATCTTTACCATCTTCCACGCAGTCATCGTCAACAGTGACACCTCCCACAACAACTACTACCCAATCGACGACTGCCACAACCACTGCATCATCTTTACCATCTTCCACGCAGTCATCGTCAACAGTGACACCTCCCACAACAACTACTACCCAATCGACGGCTGCTACAACCACTGCATCATCAGCGTCATCTACGCAATCAACGTCAACACTGACTCGTCTGGCAACAACTACTACCCAATCGACGACTGCCACATCATCTTTACCATTTTCCACGCAGTCATCGTCAACAGTGACACCTCCCACAACAACTACTACCCAATCGACGACTGCCACAACCCCCGCATCATCAGCGTCATCTACGCAATCAACGTCAACACTGACACCTCCGGCAACAACTACTACCCAATCGACGACTGCCACAACCACTGCATCATCTTTACCATCTTCCACGCAGTCATCGTCAACAGTGACACCTCCCACAACAACTACTACCCAATCGACGACTGCCACAACCACTGCATCATCAGCGTCATCTACGCAATCAACGTCAACACTGACACCTCCGGCAACAACTACTACCCAATCGACGACTGCCACAACCCCCGCATCATCAGCGTCTTCCACGCAGTCAACGTCAACACTGACACCTCCGGCAACAACTACTACCCAATCGACGACTGCTACAACCCCTGCATCATCTTTACCATCTTCCACGCAATCAACGTCAACACTGACACCTCCGGCAACAACTACTACCCAATCGACGACTGCTACAACCACTGCACCATCAGCGTCATCTACACAATCAACGTCAACACTGACACCTCCGGCAACAACTACTACCCAATCGACGACTGCCACAACAGCTGCATCATCTTTACCATCTTCCACGCAGACTTCGTCAACAGTGACACCTCCCACAACAACTACTACCCAATCGACGACTGCCACAACCACTGCATCAACAGTGTCATCTTCCACGCAATCATCTACGCAATCAACGTCAACACTGACACCTCCGGCAACAACTACTACCCAATCGACGACTGCCACAACCACTGCATCAACAGTGTCATCTACACAATCAACGTCAACACTGACACCTCCGGCAACAACTACTACCCAATCGACGACTGCCACAACAGCTGCATCATCTTTACCATCTTCCACGCAGACTTCGTCAACAGTGACACCTCCCACAACAACTACTACCCAATCGACAACTGCCACAACCACTGCATCATCTTTACCATCTTCCACCCAGACTTCGTCAACAGTGACACCTCCACAACAACTACTACCCAATCGACGACTGGCACAACCACTGCATCATCTTTACCATCTTCCACCCAGACTTTATCAACAGTGACACCTCCCACAACAACTACTACCCAATCGACGGCTGCTACAACCACTGCATCATCAGCGTCATCTACGCAATCAACGTCAACACTGACTCGTCCGGCAACAACTACTACCCAATCGACGACTGCCACAACCACTGCATCATCTTTTCCATCTTCCACGCAGTCATCGTCAACAGTGACACCTCCCACAACAACTACTACCAATCGACGACTGCTCTGACACCCCCGCATCATCGACGCGTCATCTACGCAATCAACGTCAACGTCACTGACACCTCCGGCAACAACTACTACCCAATCGACGACTGCCACAACCACTGCATCATCTTTTCCATCTTCCACGCAGTCATCGTCAACAGTGACACCTCCCACAACAACTACTACCCAATCGACGACTGCCACAACCCCCGCATCATCAGCGTCATCTACGCAATCAACGTCAACACTGACACCTCCGGCAACAACTACTACCCAATCGACGACTGCTACAACAGCTGCATCATCTTTACCATCTTCCACGCAGTCATCGTCAACAGTGACACCTCCCACAACAACTACTACCCAATCGACGACTGCCACAACCCCCGCATCATCAGCGTCTTCTATGCAATCAACGTCAACAGTGACACCTCCGGCAACAACTACTACCCAGTCGACGACTGCTACAACCACTGCACAATCAACGTCAACACTGACACCTCCGGCAACAACTAGTACCCAATCGACGACTGCCACAACAGCTGCATCATCTTTACCATCTTCCACGCAGTCATCGTCAACAGTGACACCTCCGGCAACAACTACTACCCAATCGACGACTGCCACAACCACTGCATCATCTTTACCATCTTCCACGCAGACTTCGTCAACAGTGACACCTCCCACAACAACTACTACCCAATCGACGACTTCCACAACCACTGCATCATCTTTACCATCTTCCACCCAGACTTCGTCAACAGTGACACCTCCGGCAACAACTACTACCCAATCGACGACTGCCACAACCACTGCATCATCTTTACCATCTTCCACGCAGTCATCGTCAACAGTGACACCTCCGGCAACAACTACTACCCAATCGACGACTGCCACAACCACTGCATCATCTTTACCATCTTCTACGCAGACGTCGTCAACAGTGACACCTCCGGCAACAACTACTACCCAATCGACGACTGCCACAACCACTGCATCATCTTTACCATCTTCTACGCAGTCATCGTCAACAGTGACACCTCCCACAACAACTACTACCCAATCGACGACTGCCACAACCACTGCATCATCTTTACCATCTTCCACCCAGACTTCGTCAACACTGACACCTCCAACAACAACTACTACCCAATCGACGACTGCCACAACCACTGCATCAACAGCGTCATCTACGCAATCAACGTCAACACTGACACCTCCGGCAACAACTACTACGCAATCGACGACTGCCACAACCACTGCATCATCTTTACCATCTTCTACGCAGTCATCGTCAACAGTGACACCTCCCACAACAACTACTACCCAATCGACGACTGCCACAACCACTGCATCATCTTTACCATCTTCCACCCAGACTTCGTCAACACTGACACCTCCAACAACAACTACTACCCAATCGACGACTGCCACAACCACTGCATCAACAGCGTCATCTACGCAATCAACGTCAACACTGACACCTCAACGTCAACACAACAACTACTACCCAATCGACGACTGTCACAACAGCTGCATCATCTTTACCATCTTCCACCCAGACTTCGTCAACAGTGACACCTCCGGCAACAACTACTACCCAATCGACGACTGCCACAACCACTGCATCATCGTTACCATCTTCCACCCAGACTTCGTCAACACTGACACCTCCCACAACAACTACTACGCAATCGACGACTGCCACAACAGCTGCATCATCTTTACCATCTTCCACCCAGACTTCGTCAACAGTGACACCTCCCACAACAACTACTACCCAATCGACGACTGCCACAACCACTGCATCATCTTTACCATCTTCCACGCAGTCTTCGTCAACAGTGACACCTCCCACAACAACTACTACCCAATCGACGACTTCCACAACCACTGCATCATCTTTACCATCTTCCACCCAGACTTCGTCAACAGTGACACCTCCCACAACAACTACTACCCAATCGACGACTGCCACAACCACTGCATCATCTTTACCATCTTCCACCCAGACTTCGTCAACAGTGACACCTCCAACAACAACTACTACCCAATCGACGACTGCCACAACCACTGCATCAACAGTGTCATCTACGCAATCAACGTCAACACTGACACCTCCGGCAACAACTACTACCCAATCGACGACTGCCACAACAGCTGCATCATCTTTACCATCTTCCACGCAGTCATCGTCAACAGTGACACCTCCACAACAACTACTACCCAATCGACGACTGCCACAACCACTGCATCAACAGCGTCATCTACGCAATCAACGTCAACACTGACACCTCCGGCAACAACTACTACCCAATCGACAACTGCCACAACCACTGCATCATCTTTACCATCTTCCACCCAGACTTCGTCAACAGTGACACCTCCCACAACAACTACTACCCAATCGACGACTGCCACAACCACTGCATCAACAGCGTCATCTACGCAATCAACGTCAACACTGACACCTCCGGCAACAACTACTACCCAATCGACGACTGCCACAACCACTGCATCATCTTTACCATCTTCCACCCAGACTTCGTCAACAGTGACACCTCCCACAACAACTACTACCCAATCGACGACTGCCACAACCACTGCATCATCTTTACCATCTTCCACGCAGTCATCGTCAACAGTGACACCTCCCGCAACAACTACTACCCAATCGACGACTGCCACAACCCCTGCATCAACAGCGTCTTCTACGCAGTCGTCGTCAACACTGACACCTCCGGCAACAACTACTACCCAATCGACGACTGCCACAACCACTGCATCATCTTTACCATCTTCTACGCAGTCATCGTCAACAGTGACACCTCCCACAACAACTACTACCCAATCGACGACTGCCACAACCACTGCATCATCTTTACCATCTTCCACACAGTCATCGTCAACAGTGACACCTCCCACAACAACTACTACCCAATCGACGACTGCCACAACCACTGCATCATCTTTACCATCTTCCACCCAGACTTCGTCAACACTGACACCTCCGGCAACAACTACTACCCAATCGACGACTGCCACAACAGCTGCATCATCTTTACCATCTTCCACGCAGTCATCGTCAACAGTGACACCTCCCACAACAACTACTACCCAATCGACGACTGCCACAACCACTGCATCATCTTTACCATCTTCCACCGCAGA